CGCCCCTCCCCCTTTTTCCCTGGTCCTGTTGCTGACCCAGATGCAGCCAGGTCGACACATACCCGAGCTACGAGGAGAACGGGAGGCTGTACCATGGCTTTCGACGAGGAATGTACATGTATCCCTGCGACGAGAATGAGCAGGATCGGTTAGACCTCTTCCACCGGGTGCTCTGCGTGGCCCGCAAGGAGATACTGCACAGCCCGAACATCAAGATTCCCCCAAGCATAATGCGCAATCCCACTTCAATCCATGATCAGGGGCCTCGGATACTCGATCTAGGCTGCGGAACAGGTACTGAAATTTCCTTATTTTAGTCTCTTTATCACATTTGCCCTCCCCCTCCCCCCTTTTTGTCATCTTTTTTCAATATGTTTCTGGAACGCGGAATGCATACGGCCAATGCACCGTTTTTGGGACTTGTCTCGCACTTTTTTCATATATCTGTCTCTTATTACACAAACCCGTTTTCATTTTCGTCTTGATGACAGAATCCGGTCTGACCTATGTTTTGTGCTTCGCTTGGCAAATACGATAGGTATCTGGGCAATCGACATAGCAAAGAAATATCCTCACGCATATGTGCTTGGGATCGACCTAGCTCCTATGCAACCCACCAATCGACCTCCCAATTGTGAATTCCAATCTCCACGGGACTTTGAGAGCCCCTGGCTTCTAGGCGAGAATTCCTGGGATTTTATTCATCTTCAGATGGGTTGCGGGAGTGTTTCGAACTGGCCCAACTTGTACAGCAAGGTCTTTGCGCACTTGAAACCTGGAACCGGTTATTTCGAACAGGTCGAAATTGACTTCGAGCCCTTTACCGTCAATGGCATGCCAAACGAACATCTCTCGGAATGGTACCGGCAGCTGAAGGCTGCCACAGATAAGGCTATGCGGCCAATTGCTTTCAATCGCAGCATGAAACACACCCTGAAGGAGGCTGGATTTGTCGATGTCAGGCAGCATGTGGAGGGATTGCCACTCAACGAGTGGCCAGAAGACCCGTCTGACAAGTTGGTGGGAAAGTGGTACAATCTTGCGTTCTCAGAGAGTGCACTGACGCTCTTGCAAGGACCACTTACTCGAATAAGTGGAATGTCTCTTGATCGCATCCAGGACTTGGCTGATCAAGCGATAACTCAGGCCTATGACAAAAATGTCCAGGCGTGGAATCATCTCCAGGTTTACACGGCGCGGAAACCAAGGTGAGACAACTCAAAATTTGGGTTTCTTTGTCGGATGCACCCAGCGTCTGCTAGAATCTGAGTACCCCATTTTTCTTGTCCCTCAAGTGTAACTGGTCCGTAACCTTTCCGGGCTACTGTTCATCATTGCTATCCGATTAGCAAAGACCGTTAACTGCCCATTAATGGGTGACTATAATAACCAAATTGCCACTGGACCTCTGGTTGCCGGCAGTTACTTCCTGCAGGACGAACAATACCGGACGGCAGAAGTATGATTTTGAAAGAAGAGCGAATTTCAGGGAAGAACGAATGAATGTAACGGAGGTGGAAGCGATAGACGGAAACATGGGAAAGACGGATGGCAGAAGGAACCGGAAGGAGAAAAGGGTATTTTTTTTTCTGCACACTCGAATCACACGAACCAGCTTTGAGTTGATGGCCGTGACCTCCTTTAAACGAGCATTGTGATTTTTGCTGAGTTTATATCGCGCAGCTAGCCATGTTCCTCCCTCTTCACTCCTCCCCCCTGTACAGTGACACTTCACTAGGGATCGGATCAAGTACCAGCTAGTGTTGTCGCATGGGGAGAAGAATTTGACTTCCAAATGGGTCCGATGAATTCGTCGAAATGCTGAACCGAAAGCCGATGCTTAGGGGATGTTGTGGTTACCCTGTATATCTTCCATATACAGATTCTTCACATTCCCGAGTGTTGTGAAATTCCGATATCTCGAGCACATTTCCTGCCGTTCACAGATGAATGTCGAGGGAACTAAAACCCCAACTATTTAGAGGAAAGGAAAGTATGGACATGCTAGGAGGATTGCCGGAAATGATGGAATGTAAATGATAGGAATCCCAGAATTTTGGTTCGGCCTGGAAGGGGGGATAGCCTCGGGGACAGAAAGATGTGAAAATGCACTGCTGGCAGATTGAGCTGGAGGGAAAAAGGAAAGAAAAAGAAGGGCAACAGCTCAGAAGGAAATCAACTGCCAGGGGGACAGCTTCGTCAAATGTATTCCGATGCTTGGGTCACCGGCTGTCAGGACAAGGGTAGAATATACCCATTTATATATGCACGACCACGTCGCATCTTGGCCTGTCAGTCCTCTTCTCAGGGAATTTTCCACAGGGTTGACATATGCGACGAAGCAGAAACGGCAAGAGGGATAGATCAGGGGGAATGCTACATATTTTCCAGCTTATATGCCAGCAGCCTCTCGCCACCAGTTCGTCTCTGCCAGAATTTCTATTTGTTTCCTTTTCCTCGGGTCTTGCGGTTCTCTCACTTGCCTCCCAACTTTTATGCCTCTGAAGTTGTTATGTTCCCTATCATTGGACAGTCGGGAAACGGCTCCTTTTCTTTTTCTTGGGTGTTTTTAATGCATTCTCCTCGCTTCAACCCTTGCTTGCATGTCTGATGGGCTTTTTCTTTCCCCAATTTCTTATCAAGCGTTTTCCTGTCCCGCCGGAATGGTAAAGGGTAAAAAGGTAAAGAGGAGACGGATCTACGAATGGCCGGGAAAAGTTTGTGCGGACGTCTTGCATCCCATAACTCTGTTAGCTTATCGTTTCTTTGTTATTTTTCCTCAGGCTGGCAGAGCATGCCGGAGTTGGCTATATAGGGAGGAGTATTCTCTGTTTTATGATCATTCCTCAGGACGACGATTCATGGTGATGATCTATTGCTACGATAACGAGTGGTTAGTTACCTTGTTCTTTTCCTTGACTGCCTCCTTTTTCTTCGCTTTGATGGTCATGCTGTGCCTTTGTACTCTGTTTTATATAGAGGGTCTCCTACGGTTACCTTAAAATTCCCCGCCATCTTCCTTTACTGTTTTCATTCTGCCTCGGTTATCACTACGTAGTGGGCTCGCTATACTGTTCGATAGGGTCATAGATTTCACGTCCATCGGTTGCGGTGCTTTCCTTGGGCCGTATATTCTCACGTAACTACCGAGCATCTACTGGCATTAGCTTGTATATATACTACATGTACTTTCTGCCATAGTCGTTGCCAGTGAAAAGGAATTTGCAATAGTATCAAATCAGCAGGCGTTGTTTGGACGCTAATGTCCGCTTCTTACTCGAGCCTAAGGGTGTCTAAGTAGTTAGTTGTTATTGTAGTTAGCTAATTAGCTTGACATTGGGGTATTCTATACTCGATATCAATTAACTACTCCTAAATAACCAGCTACTTAATTAAGATTTAGTTGGTTTGCCGCGGGTGAGCCTCACTTCTGTGCTGCTAAATACGAAACGCACTTCATAGGAGTAAACGACAGGACCTTGTATTTCCTCATAATACGACCAACCTGGTATCCGTCATGAAATACAATTTAACTCTGTAACACATCGTACAGCTCTCCGAAAATGGAGTTGGTTTCCTGTAATAGTTATACGAGGTATCGTGGCAATGTATGGAGTATCTGTTGCCCCTGTAACTTCAAAAATAATATCCCTGACAAGAGCAGTTGACCCTCTTATACGTCGCAAGATTGGAGCTCCTCAGGAGGCCAACTTCCCGTTTGTTCCCCATACCTTGGGCGGAGATATCTCCGTATTAAAACATGTTGTTGAGAATGTCTGGTATTAACTAGGCTCCTAGTCGCCATGCATTCATGGTAGCTAGCTAGTGATTATATTTCTAGAGAGGAACTAATTGTTAAATTCAGATCCAACCTTCGCGTGACAACATCGAGCATCTACAACCCGAATACTCCTGTGGTTAATTACTACTTGCTTGCGGACCGTTATTCGCTGCGTTATTACACACTTAACTCCCCTCTCCTTCTCTCTCACCCTTCTGACTATGCACCAAAGGCTGTGAAATTACCAAGCAAGCTGGATGGAACAAAGTTACAGCCTTCCTTTCCAGTTGAGCGTGTATGTGATAGCGACTAACTGAAGCAGCGGCATCTTCTTTTCCTTGGTACGGAGTAGGGCTAGCTAAAAGGAAAGTTAGGGGGTCGGTTAGCTTCACGTTTGTCATGATTATGAATACCTGCAGAATTCCCTGCAACATACCATTGGGGTTGGTGACATGGGTCTAACAGTGACTAAAGCAGGTGCATGAAATCCACCCATGCATGACGCTGTCTCCACGTTCATTTGTCAACCAGAAGAGCCCATGATCTCGTATACATATACTCAGTGAAGTATAAGATAGAACATGGTTCGAAATTGAACATGTTGTCTCCTCAAAAGAAACGCTGATTTGTGGGACAAGAGAAGGGGTTCCTGCTTCATTGTTTCATGTCAGATGCTTGCTTGCATAATACCCGGAAGATATTCAAATCCATGCGTGGAGTCGACCCTGGGATCCATTTTTGACATCCAGGAGACGTGGCGCAAGATATTGGGCAGTTTTTGATAAGCTGAGGTCATCCTGGTACTCGTGCAGACATGCAGTAAATGGACGAGCATGTCTAGACGTACCCCATAAGTATGTACGATTGGCTGCGTTGAGGATGCCCGCAGAGCATTTTTACCTTTCGACTTAGCCTAGAGAATCATCCCACAGAAGGGAAAAAGTAGCGAGGCTGGAGGTGACGTTTCGTCATAGCTAGTCCAGTGTATCCCTATCGTAAGGCGTGCCGCTGATATGACGTCGTGAGCAGCCCAAAGAGAAATAAAAACGGGGCACAGATGGCGTTGTTCATCAATTTACAAGCGTGCTGGATAAAGTTGTTAAGTTGTGACGATCAATTAGTCGACTATTATCTGATCGAGTTATATTTTTCCATTTAATATTTTGCTTTTATTTTTGTTTCTTTTTTCAATTTCCATTTTTTAAAAGGTTGGTTTAGGTTATCTCCGGCGTCCTTTATTCTGCGTTCTGCCAATGCCATTCGATGTCGGCTGTCTTCTACCGTCAGAATCGTAAACATCGCCACTGGCGGTAGCGGACGCAGCTACATTGTTGCCGCCGTTATTATTCATCCACTCACGTCCAGAGCCAGGGCTGCGTCTTCTCATTGTTCCAGGCCCCACTGCAATGATATCTTCTTCACTCTCGCTATCTGATATGTCCAAGAGGACAGGCATGCGGAACGTCTCGTGTCCGTCATCACCGGTTTCTCCCTTGACAGGTTCAATAGTAAGCACGTCCGGAGTCTCATCTTCTAGATCAAGCCGGCGCTGATGAACTTGTTCAGCAGGATGGATATCGTATTCATCTTCCCTCTCGACGTATTCAACATTTTCCTCGACTTCCTGAAAATCAGGCGCTAACGCAGACCATTTCTGTGGCGTGACAATAGACCACACATATATACCGCCAGACTCTAGCCCACAGGCTACCACCATGGGTTTGTTTGGGTGCCACTCGACGACTCCCAGCTCCTCTTTCGGGCCTTCAAGAATCTTGACAAGTGAGCCATGGCTGCGTTCCCAGACATAGATGTCATGGTTCATAAACGTGGATGCAGTCACGAATTCACCCGTTGCAGAGAAAGCAACATGGTTCCAGCTTAACCTGTTCACCACATCTTGGAACTTGTGTTCTATGTCGAGCTTGATATTAGATGGTTCAAGGCTAACGCCAAGCTGTGAAAGGTCCGGCATTAAAATGGTGCGTATCACTCGGTCGGAGCTGTTCGCAAGTAAATCCCGTCCATTGCTTGCAAGACGCAGAAGTATTATAACACCGTTACATAAACGGGTGGAATGGATTGTTTTGCAGGTCTGAGTTTCGATAATGTTGATCCAACCCTTGGATGTGCCAGCCAGAATATGATTGCCAAGTGCCGTGAAGACGGTAACGCAAGTTGAATGTTTTGCATCCTGTGCAGCTTGCTTAGCAGCTACTGCAGGGTCAACTTCTTCTCCATTCTCCGGTTGCGGCCGAAGGGGTGCTGAGGGTAGGATACGCTTGATGGGTCGAGGAGAGGAAACGTCGACAAGGACTGGTTGGTCTTCAAACAATGAAGCCACAAATAGCCAACTAAGATGGAATTCTGTTTAGTTCCTTGTATCTACCTCGCAATGTATCCCGTTAGGAAGGAAAAATGTCTGGCGCATGGACGTACTGGTTGAATGGATGCAATTCTGCAATATATACGGGAGCTTCAAATCGAACCGTCCGTATTCGTGAGCCATCTTTCAAGTCCCACAAAACGCATTTCCAATCTTGGGATGAACTCAAGAGGTATCGTCCGTCTCGGGACCAACTGTTAAGAGTATCATTTAACACTTTTACCCGTAATCCGCGCATCGAACTCATGGAGGTAACAGTATCGTACCTTAGTGACTGGATCTGTTTGCTGTGCCCGCGCAGTTTGCGCGCGACACCGTTCGTTTCGACATCGAATATCACGATAGTACCATCAACCTACGAGAGCCTTTAGTTCATGTTCTTCCCAGATGTCTCTCCATGACAGAATTATCTTCCATACCCTTCCCGAAGCTAGAAAGTCTCCTTTGCGATTGAACCGCAGACATGCCGCATGGCCGCTTCCTTCAAAAAATTAACAATAAAAAGGTGAAGTCAGAAAAGAGCTAAGACGAGCCCACAAAAAGGTAGTACATGGATATTGCCTTACTGAGAGTTCCCGTCAAAATATCCGGGTAGTCCTGCGCCAATGCAAACGGATCAATAAGGGCCAAATTCATGGTGTGCGGGAAGCAGTGAATCCCCGAGTAAGCCGCACGCGCAATCAGTCATCCTTGGCCTTGGACCATCGTCCTCCTTTTCCTGTCGAAACCTTTAGCTACCCTCTGGGCCGCTCTCCCCTTTATCCGTGTTGTAGGACTGTGTTCTTGTTCTTCTCTTCTTCGTCCTCCTTTTGTGCCTTTGTCGCTGTGAATGAAAATGAAGTCAAAAACTTCCCGATTCGGCGTGCGTCTGATTATCCAATCATAACACTGAAGCCTGCTGAGTCATCCGCTATACCACATTAGGAACCGCCTGAGGCGAAAAACTTCGAGCGAACTTCAATCAACAAGCGCATCTGAGGCGAGACTCAGAACAACGTCCGTCAAACACCAGCGCTGAACGTCTGCAACGCCCGCAAGCATCTAAGAATATCGCGTTTCTGCATCGCGGTATTTCTTTTGGCTCTCTTGTCCTCCGTCCTCCCCGTCGCTTCGCTCTTGCGCTCTCAGAAACTACGTCCTAGCAGCAGCTCAGGAAAAGGTCCAAAGGCGCCCTCGGGCAGGGTCTGCCAGTGGCCGGTAAAAGGCCATACACGGCCATCAGCTTCATCAAATACGCAGTCATTTCAGGCTCAATATAGTGCCACTTTTCGATATTGGACGTGATACGGATTCCTTTGCGCGTTTTTAACCCAGGAGCAGGACTGTCACATTCTTCACATTCGCAGTCCATCCTTCCCACCAAAATTTTTTTACCACCACATCAGCTGCTTGCGAAACCACCGCAGCCATGTCTTCCGTCAGATTTCCATATTCGAAAGCGCAGTTGCGCACGATTAAAGAGATCCAGTTTGGTCTCCTCTCACCTGAAGAGATAAAGCGGATGAGCGTGTGCCATGTCGAGTATCCTGAGACTATGGTCAGTTCACGTTTGGACGTACAGAGGCAATAAATCTTTACTTTTCATACTAACATATCTCTTTCTTATTCTAGGACGACCAACGACAACGGCCACGCGAAAAGGGACTTAACGATCCTCGTCTAGGCACCATCGATCGCAACTGGCGATGTGCTACATGCGAAGAAGGCATTAATGACTGCCCGGGGCACTTCGGCCACATCGAACTATCTACGCCGGTGTTCCATATTGGTAAATATTTGTCATGGAAAAGATTTTGAACCTTTCAAACTGACATTCTGGTATAGGTTTTTTGACTAAAATTAAGAAGCTGTTGGAAACTGTCTGCCACAATTGTGGAAAGATAAAAGCCAATGCGGTTAGTCATCCCTTGTGGGATGGCAAATCATAGATATGGCCAGTATGCTGACATTTTTTTTTTTTTGAATATCTTCAGTCTGATCAGAAATATCTGGACGCCCTTCGTTTTCGCGATCCGAAGAAACGTTTCGATGCTATTTGGCGATTGTCGAAGGATATCCTTATTTGTGAAGCTGACCCACCGGAAGAGGATGACCCTTTTGCCAAAGAGAGCTCAAAACCTGTCCAGGGCCATGGTGGTTGCGGCAACGTTCAACCCCAGGTTCGAAAAGAAGGAATCACGCTAATGGGTACATGGAAACCAAGCAAGATGCGCGACATGATGGATGATAACGAAATTCAGCAACCTGAGAAGAAGCAGATCACTCCTCAAATGGCCCTTACAATCTTTAGGAACATCTCGGAGGAAGACGTTCGTCTTATGGGATTGAGTAATGATTACGCCCGACCCGAGTGGATGATCATTACCGTATTGCCTGTTCCACCCCCGCCCGTTCGACCTAGTGTTTTGGTAGGGGGCAGTGGTACCGGCCAGCGTGGAGAGGATGATTTAACATACAAGCTTGCTGAAATTATCCGCGCCAATCAAAACGTTACCAGGTGTGAGCAGGAAGGCTCTCCAGAACATGTGGTTCGCGAATTCGAGTCTCTGCTGCAATACCATGTCGCAACTTACATGGATAACGATATAGCTGGCATTCCCCAAGCAATGCAGAAATCCAACCGCCCCGTTAAGGCCATCCGTGGAAGACTAAAGGGAAAAGAAGGTCGTCTCCGACAGAACCTGATGGGAAAACGTGTGGACTTCTCAGCTCGTACTGTCATTACTGGCGACCCGAATCTCTCACTTGATGAAGTAGGAGTTCCTATTAGCATTGCGCAGACGTTGACATACCCTGAGGTGGTCACACCTTACAACATCCATCGACTAGGTCAACTTGTCGATAATGGTCCAGATGTTCATCCAGGTGCACGCTATGTCATTCGTAGCTCTGGTGAACGTATTGATCTTCGGCATCATAAGGGTGGTGGTGGCCGAAACTTCCTGCAATGGGGATGGAAGGTTGAGCGTCACCTCATGGATGGCGATTTCATCCTTTTCAACCGTCAGCCATCCCTTCACAAGGAGTCTATGATGAGCCATCGTGTTCGTGTTATGCCATATTCCACTTTCCGACTGAATTTGTCTGTCACGACCCCGTACAACGCCGATTTCGATGGAGATGAAATGAACTTACACGTCCCTCAAAGTGAAGAGGCTCGAGCTGAACTTAATCAATTATGCTTGGTTCCTTTGAATATCGTATCCCCGCAGAGAAACGGTCCACTTATGGGTATTGTGCAAGACACTCTTTGTGGAATTTATAAGATCTGCCGACGAGACGTATTCTTAACGAAGGAGCAAGTTATGAATGTTCTTTTATGGGTTCCGGACTGGGATGGTGTTCTTCCTCAACCTGCAATTCTTAAGCCCCGCCCAAGATGGAGTGGAAAACAGATGATTAGTATGGTTCTTCCGTCTGGCTTAAACTTGCTTCGAATCGACAAGGACAAGTCTCCCATTTCAGAAAAGTTCTCCCCCCTGGCGGATGGAGGTGTCTTGGTCCATGGTGGTGAACTGATGTATGGAATGTTTTCTAAGAAGACTGTTGGTGCTTCGGGCGGTGGAGTTGTTCATACTATCTTCAACGAATACGGACCCGATGCTGCTATGAGCTTTTTCAATGGAGCCCAGGCGGTTGTGAACTACTGGCTCCTTCACAATGGTTTCAGTATTGGCATTGGTGATACAATTCCTGATCTGGAAACTATTCAAAAGATCGAAAATGCAGTACGTGTCAGAAAGGAAGAAGTCGACTCCATTACTGCCAGTGCTACGGAAAACACTCTGGAGGCTCTTCCCGGTATGAACGTTCGAGAAACCTTCGAGAGCAAGGTATCCCGTGCTCTGAATAACGCTCGTGATGAAGCTGGTACTGCGACAGAAAAGAGCTTGAAGGACTCGAACAACGCAGTTCAAATGGCTCGATCTGGTTCTAAAGGTTCCACCATCAACATTTCTCAGATGACGGCGGTAGTCGGTCAACAGTCAGTTGAAGGAAAACGTATTCCTTTCGGATTTAAATATCGGACATTGCCACATTTCACAAAAGATGACTATTCTCCAGAATCCCGTGGATTCGTCGAGAATTCGTATCTCCGGGGACTGACACCTACAGAATTCTTCTTCCACGCTATGGCTGGTCGCGAAGGTTTGATTGACACTGCTGTCAAAACTGCGGAGACTGGTTATATCCAGCGAAAGCTTGTCAAGGCACTGGAAGAAGTCATGGTTAAATACGATGGAACTGTTCGCAACTCCTTGGGAGATATCGTCCAATTTCTTTATGGTGAAGATGGTCTTGACGGCCAGTGCATTGAAAATCAGCGTGTTGATGTTATTAAATGCTCGGATGAACAGTTTAGAAACCGGTTCCGTGTTGACCTCATGGATCCAGAGCGCTTGCTTTCGCCTGACATCCTGGAGCAGGCGACAGAGATTGCAGGTGATATTGAGGTACAAAAGCACCTTGATGAAGAATGGGAACAACTGTTGAAGGACCGCGCCTTTTTGCGAACTGTTGTCAAGGAAGATGACGAGATGATGCAATTACCGATCAACATCCAGCGAATTTTGGAGTCGGCCAAAACTACTTTTAGAATTCGTGATGGCACAATTAGTGACCTTCACCCGGCAGAAGTTGTTCCGCAAGTCAGGCAGCTGTTGGATCGTTTGCTTGTAGTCCGTGGAGATGATGCTCTCTCCCGTGAAGCTCAGGAAAGCGCAACTCTTTTGTTCAAGGCACAGCTCCGTTCACGCCTTGCGTTCAGACGCTTGGTTGTGGAATACTCACTGAACAAGCTTGCTTTCCAGCATGTTCTCGGTGCCATTGAGAGTCGATTTGGAAAAGCTGCGGCAAATCCCGGTGAGATGGTTGGTGTGTTGGCTGCCCAGTCAATTGGAGAGCCAGCTACCCAGATGACTCTCAACACTTTCCATTTTGCTGGTGTGTCCTCAAAGAACGTTACGCTAGGCGTGCCTCGTCTTAAGGAAATTCTAAACGTCGCAACAAACATCAAGACGCCATCTATGACTGTTTATCAAGCACCAGAGTGTCGGATGAACAAAGAATCTGCTAAGCAATTGCGAAGCATTGTTGAGCATACTAGTCTACGATCGGTAACAGAGTCAACTGAGATATACTACGATCCCAATATCCAGTCAACCGTTATCGAAAACGATATCGATATGGTGGAATCATACTTCATCATTCCGGAGGATGTTGCGGACGACTCATCACGGCAATCAAAGTGGTTGCTCCGTATTATTCTAAGTCGACCAAAACTTCTAGACAAGGGTCTTACTGTCCAAGATGTTGCAACAAAGATTAAGGAAGCATACCCCCAGGATATAGCTGTTATCTTCAGTGACAACAACGCCGACGAACAAGTTGTCCGTATTCGTCAAATTCAAGATCCAAAGCAAGACGAAGATGATGATGACACGGAATATGATGTTACCCTCAAGAAGTTGGAAAGCCACTTGCTGGACACTCTGACCCTACGTGGTGTTCCCGGTATTGACCGTGCGTTCATTAACGAAAAATCCCGAACTAGAGTTCTCGAGGATGGCTCGCTCCATCAAAGTGCAAGCGACCCTGAATGTAAGGAATGGGTACTCGAAACTAGTGGTTCCGCCCTTGCAGATGTGTTGGCAATCCCTGGCATTGATGCTAGCCGCACATATTCTAACCAATTCGTCGAGATTCTTGAAGTGTTTGGTATCGAAGCTACTCGAACAGCCCTTCTCAGAGAGTTGACACAGGTGCTTGCCTTTGATGGTTCTTACGTCAACCATCGACACTTGGCACTTCTCGTAGATGTCATGACTTCACGAGGCTTCCTTATGGCTGTAACCCGACATGGTATCAATCGTGCAGATACTGGTGCCTTGATGAGGTGCTCCTTCGAAGAGACTGTCGAAATACTTCTTGATGCTGCTGCTTTTGCTGAGTTGGACGACTGCCGAGGCGTGTCTGAGAACCTGATCCTTGGTCAAATGGCACCCGCAGGAACGGGAGAATTTGATGTCTATCTTGATCAGTCAATGCTTATGGGCGTCGTTTCCAACAATGCAGGCTTAGGAGCGATGGGCGAGGAACCTAAGGGGATGCTTTCTGACGGTGCCGCTACCCAGTACGACAGCGGTTCACCAATGCAAGAGAACATGTATATCAGCTCCCCTGATCCTGATTCCCAGTTTTCACCTGTCAGACAAGCCGGGTCAGAGAATGCTGTTGGGTTCGCTGATTACCAGCCACCAAGTTATGGTGGATTCAGCCCTCATGAACCGAGGAGTCCTGGAGGAGGCTACTCTCCCAGCAGTCCGTTCAATACCAGTCCAACTTCTCCAGCATATTCTCCCTCGTCAGGTTACTCTCCCACTTCTCCGGGCATGAGCATTACAAGTCCGCGGTTCATTTCATCTCCGGCCTTCTCTCCAGCCAGCCCGTCATTTGCTCCAACCTCTCCAGCTTATTCACCGACTTCTCCTGGCTATGGACAAGCCCAGTCACCTACCTCGCCTTCCTACTCGCCCACTTCACCAGGTTTCTCTCCTACATCACCCAGCTACAGCCCCACGTCACCCAGCTTCAGCCCGGCCTCGCCTGTTTTTAGCCCTACATCGCCTAGTTACAGCCCAACCAGCCCAGCGTTGGGAGGTACTGGCAGGCATCTTTCACCAACCTCTCCTACCTCCCCGAAGTATACCCCAACTTCGCCCGGATGGTCTCCCACCAGTCCAGAGGCATATTCTCCAACCTCTCCAAACTTCTCTGGCTCGCCGACTTCTCCAGGTGGGCCGACGTCTCCAGGCTATAGCCCGACATCTCCTACTTTTAACCCAACGTAAGTCTACACACAAGTATTGCTTTTATTATAATCATGATGCTTACTATCTGGAAGATCCCCACGCCAGTAAAGCAAGCTTTACGGGTTAGATCTTTATTTCTTGTTTCATACCACTCCTCTAGTGTACTAATACTTCGATTTTCACTTCGATTCACCCAACCTTCCGAAAAAAAACTTACGTTGCCTCATCCAACGTGCAGTTGGTTAATCTACTTTCTCTCTTCATCGGATCTGGCGCCTTGTACCAAACATTTTCGTCCCCTTCAAATTCCCTTGTCAGAATGACCCAAAAAATTTCACTTTTAACTGATTCGTTATTTTTGAAATTGTATGTCCCTTTTCCCCGTTTTAATCCTTCAGCCTTTCTGGACAATTATTTTTTACCATCAGAGGACCCTAGAGTTTTGCCTCTTCCCCAACTGCCAAACAGGCCTCCATCTGACAAAAAAGGAATAAAAAAAAGGGAAGAAAAGACCCGAGGACCTTAGATTGTTATTGGGCACCCTCATAATATAGCATGGCGTTGGTGTTGCTTTGCTCGTGGCTTAGTTATTTGGTTTCCTACGCTCTGCTTGATGTATTCAGAGAATCTTCTTACAATAGCATCTTAAAAGAAAATCCACAAAAATAACACTTGATCCTCACGTTTCCTTCACTATCAAGCTTAAATTATCTCGCATTTTGAATAGAAAAATCTCAACACAACTCGCACCAGGCATCAAATTATGTCACGTGACTGTAATTTTTTCCCAAAGTTTGTGTCAAAAAAAATTATTTCGATCAAGTTATCACATAGTTAGTTACCCTTCGTATACTTGTGCCATACAACCCATTTCTCTGATTCTCCAAGAATGCGACCTGAAACATAAACTTGTCCTCCCTATCGCCGATATTTCTTTCCGTCGTTATAATGGACCCTCAAGCCTACCTAATGAACCAAGGGTGGTCAGGCCCTGGGAACCCTTTAAATCCTTCTAGACGGCCAGGCGCACACGGTGGGCTTGGTCTAACAAAACCGATTCTTGTTGCACGGAAGAAAAATACACATGGCATTGGAAAGAAGACGACACACGATCACACAAACCAATGGTGGCTACGCGGGTTCGAGGCAGCACTGCGCGGTATAGGAACAGACGGAAATGTGACTCCTGGTAGTGGAGAGTCTACTCCCGAAACTCCAAAGAGTGAGCTCTACAAGTTTTTCGTACGAGGACCGGGGCTTGCAGGTACTATCAAACCGAATGAATATAGCAAACCCTTACAATCATTACGCCCGGATGGTGATACTCCTTCCAGCTCTGTCGATAGCGGCACATCAAACCAAAAGAAAAAGAGAAAACGAGAAAATATAGAAGCATCACCTACCGTCGATGCATCTCAAGGAAAGAAAGAAAGGAAGAAAAAGAGTAGGGATAAGAAGCAAAGGTTAACCATCTGTGGTATTGCCACCCCACCAGAGGAGGACCATAAGGAACAAACCCCTTACATTGAAACTGTGGAGTCTATGAAAGAAGAGATATCAGGGGGAAAGAAAAGGAAAAAGGAAGAGAGAAGGGAGAAGAAAAAGCGGCAGGCCGAAGCTGTGGCTACTGAACTTCACACAAAATCTAGAACATCCGATCAATCATCGGATGAAGATTCTCCAAAGAAAGAGCAGGAAAGAAAAAGAGCTGCTAAGAAGGCTAGAATAGAAGAGAAACAGGGGAAGAAGAAGGAGAAGGAGAAAAGCGAGAAAAAGGCTCATAGGAGAGTGAAGAGGAGCAGTAAATATTAATCACAGGTTCAATGACCCTTAGATGTCATGGATTTCTCGTGGGTCAACAACCTATCGTACACTAATGATCGGTATAAAGTGCCAGCCTTTTTCATGCTTGTAAATAGTGACAGCTGATGAGATAGATACCCCATTTGCATTGAATCTTGTATTTTCAGGTTTCATGGCTTTGTTTGCTATTTGGAAGTTTCCCGGGTATGTTTGATAATAGCCACGGACGTCGTTCCCAAAACTCATCCTTAATAATATCGACGTGGGATATCGCAATGTCGGCTTTCCTTCGTAGTTTATGTTGCTTGTCTAACTGGGTCCTGGACAGCTTTGTGTCGTCCCATTCCCCATCGTCGGACACTTTTGCGCTGGAGGTATTCTTAACTTCTTCCAACTCATACTACCCATCTGCTACGTTAGACATGCAGGTGGTAGCAATAGACTTAATCCAACGATTTGAAACTCACATCTCGGAACAAAACGCTCCCCTTCTTGAATATTTCGGGTTCGTTGTTATAGTTGATCCCATATCTCGAAAAAAGGATCTCATTTTTATCGGATGAAACAGTGCCCTATTGATGTACGTTCAACATTGAAGCCTTCGAACCATAAAGGTTGAATGAAAGAGTGTGCCAATAATCAGTATATTTTACCTTTAATTCTTGCTCTGCATCCCGGTTTCCCATCCCACCCTTTAGTACCATGCTCCAAAATGTGGTATTGTACAGGTTGTTGATGTGGCCTTTGCGTCGATTAGTACGCTTCTTTGCTAAATTCGATTTTCCAGCTTGTCAAATTGAGCCTTACAATCAACTTGTCTCCAGCTCATGTAGTCTCTTAGATTTTTTATGCTAGGGTATTGGACAGCTCTCCCATCGAACGTTGGAAGAAAATTAGGCTCTAATGGCGTGTCTGGAAAGTACGATGTCCATTTATACGTGTAATGTGCTGTAAAGGTTGACACTATGGTCGACACCAGTTTACTGTAGATAATGGGGTCAGTCTTCTGGTATTAGTTCAAGGGGTATAAACGAATTATACCTGCTTCTTCGCTCAAACAGCGAACAGTTCCGATGGAAAACGAAACTTTTTCAGAGATAAGGTCAGTTGAGATGCAGATATAGATACCTGTCAGGATGAAAACGCCTCCTTACCTGAACTCATCACTCACTCCATATGCAATGACTAAATCAGGAATATCTTTCATAACGGCCTGGGCTGCCGAATTCATCAAATTCAGTGCTCTGAGATCATTTGGTTTCTCAAAGCGATATTTATCCGACAGTCTATCAAGTGATCAGCAATAGTGCTCTCATCTAAGGCTCAGTACACCTGATTATTACTAAATACTGGAGTATTCTGGGTATTGGCATTGAATTTGAGGAACTAACTTGTGAAAGCCGCGTCCATCAATGCGTATCACAATCCAGGTATTTGGCAGAAGCACGTCACTTTGCTCAAAATTCTTGACATACTCATACCTATGATATTGTTAGCTGGGAACACTAGTAGATAGCAGTGCCGTACTTTGAATTAGCCATTTCTGAGGGGGTTTAGGGATAATTAGCTCTTCATATATAAGTATATACGGTTCTAGATATCCTGTGCACTTTCGTTGGACATCATTGGAGAATTCAAGCAATAAGAAGAATATTTATATCAGCGCGGGGCTTAGTCATAGTTAGTTAACTCGTTAGTTAGTTAACCCGCCAACTAACTCAATTCGAACGACTTCATCAAGCAATGAAAATACATATTGAACGAGGAGTTCAGCTATGGACAGTATTGTGTATTCATCAAGGGATACGCTATTTCTATTCCAAAAAAAAGGGGGAGTATATATCATGTATCTTCAGATACTGACTCATCCCCCGTTTCGCTTGCTATCCCACTGGATTCACTCGGCGCTTTATCCGTCTTCTTTGACTTCCGCCTGAATCCAAACCCGAGGCTTCCTTTGCTAGATTTCTCTCCAGATTTATCACCAAGTGATATAGCACTCTCGTTACTTTTACCAAGCTGCATCTCACTCGTGCCATCACCATCAGCTTCACCTTGTCCGGATGAGTCTCCTTTCTTAGAGAAGAGGCTGGCCCGATCCTTCCAGGGCATGTTAAACTTGCTCGAGCTTCCTTTGCGGGTCAGTTTCTGAATAAATGACTCCTTCGTGCTGACTGACTCAGACGGAGTAGCAGAGGGGACTTGTTCTAAAGATTCGTGAGACTCGGTGGTGGCTGTTCCAATGGATCGAGCGTCCTTGGAGCGTCGAGAGGCGGGTGGTGACAATTCCTCATGCGTGGATTCACCCTCACGGGACTTCGGAGGCTCTGAATCCTTTGACTTTGGCCTATCTAGTCTCTTCCCAAAAAATGTTGTGAAGGAAGGTGCGGCAGGGTTTAGTTTTGGGGTAACGGGGCGGTGGGATGATGGAGGTCGAGTTCCGATGGGAGCCTGGATTGGCCTCTGGGGCTCAAATGGAGCTTCATCGTACTCTAATTCAGTAGGTAGACCGAGGGGTAGATGGCCTGTTGAACCTACTTGTATTGAGGGGCGGCGAGACTGGTTCCGTGACCATGCATTCGGAGATATCCAATCATGTCCGGAGCTGCCAGTTTTGTCGGAGGAGGGCCATCCAAACGGCTGATTCTCCATGGTCGGTAGTGGAAGGGCGTTTTCAAACGAGTATGTTGATGACGGGCGGGGAGATAGGGAATTTCGTCGAACAGTTCCAAGAATAGAAGGATCAATAGGATCATGGCGAGGACTGAATTGATTATAACCTTTGCTTGCATCTGGGGAATTAAGTGAAGGCTGGTTGTGGTTAGGGGAAACACCAGATCCATGTCTCCCGGAGGTGAAAAAGCTAGGGAACATTGCCCGTCTTCCAGCAGGTAGTCGGTCAGACGAGCTGTCGCCTGTGAGATGAGATGCATTATTACGTGGGAAGAGCGTAGTCATTGGATTTGCCCAGTTTGTGGTATAGCTCAAACGACGGCGTCTCGTACCCATGGGGTCAAACTCATCGTCCAGGTTTCTCGGAAATGACTGACTCTGGCCAGTCTTGAGGCTCCCAAGCAACGGAGGTCCATCAGCCATGGTCTTGCCCCTCTGGCGATTAAAACCAAACAGTCCCGATAGCCTCCGGGATGCGCTCTGAGCTCCACTAGGAGGGGGTTTAGATGCCCCGGGTACGGTGGTTTGAGCTGTATTGCGATCAGTGTCATGAAGATTATTTAAACTGCCGTGGGGACTTGCAAAGATACTTGTGGGATCGCTGCCAGATGAGAGCGGTGAAGGTGAGTTGGGCAGGAGTCCTTCAAAAGGGGCGGTGGGAGCCACCGAAGTAGGGACTGTAGGAATCGAAGTAGGAAAAGGAGTGATTTCGGAATCTTCACCAATACTCTGTTCTTCGTCCCCCAGAAGATCAGACGGTAGTAATGCATCGGCACGGGGGCTCATAGGTGGGTTTTCAATATCAGTACGGACCGGGCTAGTTTCGTCTGTCGGATCTGGGATGGTCATCCCATTATTAATGTTGAAAAAAGCAGGGCCGGATGTGAAAGTCGGCGAGTTGGTTCCAACCTGACCATAGTTTGGGTTCGAGAACGCTGTATCAACCAAGGGAAAGCTGACAGGCGACGACATATTGCTAGTAAGGGAGCTCCGATGGCGATTACGCCTACGGCTGCTTGTCCTTCTGTTAAGGCTTAGGTCGGGAGTAGCGATTGGGCCAAATGGCCCTGGGGCATTGCCCCATTGAGCGTTTGTCCACTGCAGCCTGTCTTGAGCTTCATAGTACTGCGGTAGGGCCTAGTAGGGGAGTTAGAATGGTGGTTGCCTTTATGGAAAGAATGAAATTGCATATCGCCTCATCACCTACTTGAGTGTGTACGTTCATGAGAGGCGTATACTGGGAACGGAGGCCAGCCATTTTTCCATCCCAGAAATGTTCGGGTTCCCTCTCTACTCGTTCCAACTCTCTGCCTTCCTCATTATCTTCTCCTTCGGGACGCCGTCTCTCCTCCTCCAGGGCCTTGATACGGCTGCCCGTGACCTTGATATCTTCGTCGATTTGTTTCATTTCTCCTTGCTCCTCTGTAATCTTGCGCCGGTATTCTTCTAATTTGGTAGTGGACTCTTCGCCAATGCGGGTTTTCTCCTTCTCCAGGTTGGCGAGTTCATCCTTGATCTCGATTTCTCTCTCGTTCCATCTAACGATGTCTTCTCTTCGCTTCTTCCTCTCAGCTTCTTTCTGCTGCAGGAGCTTTTCCCGTTTGCTCTTTTCATTCTGAACGGTCCGGTTGATGCTTTCTAGTTTATTGATGTGTTTCCGCAGATCACCGGTAGCATCATCTTTCTCTTTGACTCGCTGCTTTAAGTCATTTCTCTGGTCTTCTAGTTCACGCAGAAGCTGCTCGTATTCCTTTTCTTCTTGAGATAGCTGCTTATCCAAAGACTCGTTTTCTTGCTGTAGGATTTTCAGCCGTTCAGCTAGCTGCTTTAATGAACCTTCAAACTCGCCTCCTGCAGCCTCTCCATCGTCTAGTATTTGCGGAACGCCGCTGTCTTGAACGGAGGTTGATCCAATCGATCTTCTTCCTCCACCAGAACGTTTGGCTTGCGCTGTGCCCCCACTTTGTTCTCTTGACATAACGGGCGCAGAGGGAGAGACAATTGCGGCAGCCTTGGGCACGTAGGCCTGGATAAGAGGAGGTCCACGGTTCTCATGAGTTTGTTCGGGAGGGAATGGTCCTGGACCGGTGCGGATATGGAGAACAGAGCTGCAGGTCTGGAAATTGGCCGAGCTGATTGCGATTACACATATATGGTATATATGGCTGGGCTGGAGGTTAAAAATGGAGACGGCCGTTTCGGAACGTTTTGTCTCGCCGACTGCATCCATATTGTCAGAGCTTTATCTTCGGCATTGTCGTAAGTAGACAAAGAAGCGAACCAAGCTCACCTCTGATACCATTCACCTGAACCGCATGTTTGTGGACTGAGTTTTGCAGTTCGGGATATTTCCAAGCTATCCGTATATCCGTAGCCCCTATCTCTTCCAAAATCACTTCAGGAGTGGGAGGAATATCTAGGCCGAGCTTTTCAACGAGCAGCTCGTTCGGCGTCAGGCAAACTTGATATGCGCGGTAGGTGAGCCTAAATCGGCACAGAAAAGAAAAGAAAAAAGCACAGGGAGATTAGCTGAGTACAGAAGATCAAAGACACGAGCCGCAAGCGATTTAGACCTACCACATCAGTGCCCATAGGATCGAGCTGGCAATGAACAACGCCATTGCACCCTGGACTCGTACCTGGGGGACACCAGGATAGGTGTCTGCCACCAGGCGCAACGACTCGTATCTCCCCATGATAAACGCCCCATTAAAAACGAGCGAGATAACCGAGGACTCTAGTCGCAAACCGGCTCATCTCTGCACGCCGGGTCCGGTTCAAAAGTGCCCTTCTTTTGCTCGCGCGACTTGCTCGACTTCGTCCTTTGCTTTTGGTTGTTCAATTTGCAATATTTTGCGGATTAAAGATTTAGCTTGCCGCGGTATATGATGACTAAGCATAGCTTGTACCTAAGTTAACTTGAGAGACGGCGATGGAAGAGACCCGAGAGAAATAAAAGGTAGGAAAGGTAGGAGATAACTCGTCAGCGAGATGGGAGATGGAGATGGCAGATGTCTGGGGGTTTGTTGTAATGGCTGTGGAATTGATTACTGGGCCATAGTCCCTTTGCGTGCAGCCCTAGGGACGTTGATAACTACATTTGACGACTCTGTAAATGCGATGCTAGCAAGCTGACAAGCGAGAAGGCGTTTGATAACTAGCTAGCTAGCTAGCTAGCTGCCGTGTATGGTTATTGAACGAAGGGCTGGTAGTTGTTCCCTGTCCCCTGACGATTCTTCAGGCGTTGTCTTTTGCTCTTTGACTTGAAGCTCGACCGCCAGTTGTTTCTATCCAGGCCGAGGCCTGGTCAGCCACCACAGAGCCTCATCCGTCCCTCTTCGGCAGCTTCTGTCGGCCCAGGCAGATCATCGAGAAGGGCGAAATCGTTCCTCCAGGCGGGCGTTCCACCTTTTTCTCCTCGCTGCCAGGGCAAAAGCTAACCGTCTCCGCCCACCAGTGGCGTTCTCACATGAAAACTTTCGCTCGCCCTGATAAACATCCAGGTGATGTCTACATGCTCCGCAGGCGCCAGCAAACTGCACAGCAGCCCAGCAACAGCGAATGCGAGAGGCCGGACATGCCTCGAAGGTCTGCCGGGGGGATATTTGTTGCTTTCTCCTGGAAGGCAGCCAACCAGAGGGGGCTTCGACAGCCAGCGCCAGCCATGCAGCGAGTGAGAGAAGTTGTGCTGCCTGGATTGGGTGGGATGCTAAGACTTCTTAGCACCGTCTTGGAGCCGTCTAGAATGCCTGGCTGAGAGCTGTCCAGGCCATGTCTCGAATGACAATGTAACCACCCATGCCACCCACGCCTTGGTTTCACAACGAGTTACTCCGTACGAGCGTATGTCAGGAGGAGATCGAGCCTGACAGACAGAAACCCGCACGCCATCTGTTCCGACCCGGGATAGCCCACAAAGTAGCAGACGCAGGCAGCAGCGAAGAAAAGGAAGCGGAGATCAGCCAGTGTTTGATATCAACCGCAGAGCAAGCCTCATTCCTACCTGCAGGACTTTGTATAGCCAGAGAGACTTTCGAGATCTGCTCTTGTAGCGTCTCAACAAATGGGTGCTGCCAGGTTTAGCGCCACCCAAAAACAGCTAACTAACTAGTTATTTATAAGGCTGTCGGGCTTTGTCTCGCCCCCGTCTCTCTTCTTGACTCTATAAATCAGCGTCAACAGTCACATTGTGGTGCGTTGGACGGAGTAAATAATAATATAAAAGATATAACCAAGTAATCGTCGCTGCGTCGTTGTTTTTCTTTTTCTTTTTCTTTTGTTTTTCGCTGCGCCTTTTCACGCCGAAGCGACCCGCGAGTTACATAGTTTAGGTAGTGAGGAAACTCTCTTCGCCGGGCTCGTCACATGTTCTGCGCTGCTCGCCGGCCTCAACATCTGCGACTTCGACGTCAACCGCAACTTCAGCTCCCAACAACCGCCGGCGTCGTCCCTGTCTTTGTCGAATATCCCGTCTCTCTCTCCCTCTCTTCTCTCTCTCTCTCTCTTTTTCTGCGTGCTCTCCCGGTGCTGTCTTCTGTAAGCTGTCTTCAACTTCACATGCCGAGCTAGGCGGGATGCAGTACGTTAGGAGTATCAGCGGTTCGGTATCTAAGACATGGAATTCTATCAATCCGGCTACCCTCAGCGGTGCCATCGACGTGATAGTCATTGAGCAAGAAGACGGTCAGTCCCTTCCAGGCCCGGGTGATACGCTGATGCACGCAGTTGCTGACCGTCCCGATTTCAGGAACACTCGCATGCTCGCCGTTCCATGTCCGTTTCGGCAAATTCTCCCTCCTTCGGCCGTACGAGAAGAAGGTAGGCTTGCCAGTCTCCAGCGGCAGAAGGGACTTGAAGAGATGGAACATCTTGCTAACTAGTCATTCTTCAGGTCGAGTTCAGTGTCAATGGGGTCAAGCAAGACTATGCCATGAAGCTCGGGGAAGGCGGGGAAGCCTTTTTCGTATTTGAAACCACTGGTGACGTCCCAGAAGACCTGCAGACTTCACCTGTTATATCTCCTGCTGCTAGTCCGCAGCAGTCGCCAAATGAGCCAAGTAACAACAGTACCCTAAACCTACAAGAACCCGAATACCTTGACCTTACCTCAAAGTCGTCTACCCCTCCAAAACAGACCCGCGCGACAACTGAACCCCTCTTGGATAGCGAAACTGAACGATCCTCCCCTGTCTCGAAGAATGTACGTGAACCAGGACATAAGCTAGACAGATCTCGGTCAGATGACCTGCTGGAAGCTGGCCGTGCAAATGGCCAGAGTGCAAACAGTTCACCACAGACGACGAGATCCCAGAGCCCACCCCCAATATCCCGTCAAGAGGCATACTCCAGAGCTATTTCACTATCCAAAAAGCTATCCGGGTCGAATATTCCTTCCAAGGTGACTGAGAGTGGTGATCTGATGCTTGATATGACTGGATACAAGAGTAGCGAGGACGAGGCCCTGAGAGCAGAGGTGGTTGCTCGTAAGATCCTAGCCGAAGAGCTGGAGGGGAACTATGATATCGGTGCCTTGATTGGGGCCGACGAGCATGGGAATCTATGGATCTACAGCAGCGAAGAGGCCAAGGAGGCGGCTGGTCGGAAGGCTTCCTATAGCGCCCTACAGCACCACAACGGTATGGCAGATGATGCCGTATCGGACCCAGGATACCAAAGCGATAATGATCAGCTAGACTACAACAACCATCCGCAGAAACATCACCGCTCTCAGTCAGACGCACAGTTGGAATATCCTACCCCGCCGCAAACCCCGACAGATAAGCAGCCGGAAGGCGGTCGTAGTTATGCGAAGACCTTGCGTTTAACGAGCGATCAGCTTAAGGCACTCAACCTCAAGCCCGGTGCAAACCCGATATCCTTTAGTGTCAACAAGGCCGTTTGCCCCGCAACCATGTATTTATGGAGCTACAAAGTTCCTATCGTCATCTCTGATATTGACGGGACCATAACCAAGTTAGCTATGCGTCTGTACCCTATACATAGATCATAATTTTTCTAACTTCTTATTATAGGTCTGATGCTCTTGGGCATGTGCTGAATATGATCGGCCGAGACTGGACTCATCTTGGCGTTGCAAAGCTCTACACTGACATTGCAAGCAATGGTTACAACATCATGTACCTAACAAGTAGGTCTACCGGCCAAGCGGACACCACCCGAGCATATCTCAAAGGGATTTTGCAGGATGGATATAAAATCCCCCAAGGTCCAGTGATCATGAGCCCTGACCGAACAATCGCCGCACTACGGCGTGAGATATACCTCCGCAAACCGGAAGTATTCAAAATGGCCTGCCTGCGCGATATCCTTAGTCTTTTTGAAGGACGCCAGAACCCATTCTATGCCGGCTTCGGTAACCGTCTTACCGACGCACTCAGTTATCGATCCGTCAATATCCCCTCAACCAGGATATTCACCATCAACTCCAACGCAGAAGTCTCACTTGATCTTCTCAGTTTAACCAAATATAAGAGTAGCTATGTGACAATGAGGGAGCTGGTTGACCACTTCTTTCCCCCCGTCAGCACACTTGTGCAGGAAGGTGGCGAAGAGTTTACTGATTTTACATATTGGAGGGACCAGCCGAGGGAGCTGGATGAGTTTTCACTTACAGACACCGACGCCGGCTCAGACCGGGCTGACGATGACGATGAATATGATCTTGATCACCGCAGCGGTATCCATGAGACCTATATATCTCGTGACTCTATAGAGATTTCTGGCGATATGAATGATTCTATACATGATTCCGTGTACGAGGACATGGACGACATTTCTGAAGAAGATGAATACGAAGAAGAAGACGACCGGAGGATGTCTGATGAGGTTCCTGCATGGTCGAACGAGGAAGATACTGACGATCCCGGGGTACCCAAGTCTCCCGCACGCACTCCCAGAAGTCTTCCCGTTCGCTAGAGTAATCGCAGTGCCACATTACGCTATCGGATAGATGGCTGTGTATTTTTTTTTTTTTTTGGACTATGGCTGGCTGGCGTTTCAGTCCCGGAGTTTCGCTTTTCTTTCTGTTTCTCTATATCTTTCCCCATTCTTCTGGGCGGCCCGATATAGATGGGACTATATACCCCCTTTTCGGAGGTCTACCCGGGACTCAGCTCCCTGGCTTCATTGCTTGAGCATCTGGTGCATTCATGAGCGGGATTTGTTTCTTTCCTTTCTTTCCTTTTTTTAGAGTGTTTCCCTTGTTTACTCCCTCCTGTCTTGATATCTGTTGCTGCTTTCTCCATAAGCCGGCGAGCGTGCTGAGCCTGTGATGTTAGTTCGGTGTAGACTCTAGTTAATAGAAATGTTTAATTCGCCAACCTCTCGTCTACATTCATAGGTTCCCTTCCCCTGAATCAGTATTGTCCAGTAGAAGATGCTTTATCCCTCCACTCAGCAACGACAAAAATTGGGCATCCCCATTTTCCTACGGAGTAGGGATATTATTATATCTCAGGCAGAGCGACGGCATGATGGGAGTTCTCGGGCGTTGGCTTCAACCTTAAACTGTGTTTCACGTGACAAGGGATCCGCGACTTCAAGATCGCAAGCAAAAGAAACAACCAAAGCTGCGAGCGACAACATCTTCGTCCGCCTTGCTGTCCTCTAGTACGCACTCACACAGCCGAGAAGAGCTGGTGCTTTCAGAGCTCATCGCTTCCTTTTCCTTTCGGTACCATATTCTCTCGGCTCACGGCCGCTACCAAGAAACTACGATCCCCGCTTGCAGGTCAGGCGATATACATGCGCTCAGGGCTGTCATCATAACCAGACCTCCACCGAGTTGCCCCGGATTTTCTCAAGCCCTCAATTTATCATAATAATACGCGATGGCTTCACCCAGGCCTAATGCGACTCCTATCGCGGGACCGTCCGCTCCTTCAACACAGCCAATCACGCCTCCGGCGGAGCCTCTACCATCATCAAACCCAGCTGCGCCTGCAAGTACCACCCCAGCTCAGATACCGTCTACCTCACTACAAGATAGCGGTAAAAGCAGAAGACCTAGAGATGCCCGATTAATTCACATGTTATTGGCCTCTCTTGGAGTCACTTCCTACCAGGAACGAGTCCCGCTCCAGCTACTCGATTTTGCATACAGATACACCTCAAGCACTTTACAAGATGCAGTATATCTAGCGACTGAGGGCTATCCAGGAGAACTACAGAAAGAGGGTGGTGGTCGAGCCCATGCGCATCAAGATGGCAGCAATGGCGTTAGTTTAGGTGCACTGCGAATGAGCATTGCTTCTCGGTTACATTATCAATTTCAGCCAGGCCTACCCAAGGAATTTTTAATGGACCTTGCGGCGGAAAGGAATCGGATTATGCTACCTGGTGTCTCAAGGGGACAAGAGGGAGCGTCAAGTAGCGCCACAGCTTCGGGACAGGAAACCATGATGGGTGGTATACGGTTGCCACCGGAACGGTTCTGTCTGACAGGAGTAGGGTGGGATATGAAAGGAGAATGGGAGAGTGAAGGTGAAGAGGAGGTGGAAGTCGATACGCAAGCTGCTGGTGCTGGTGCGCCTGCTGAGAAGGATGCAGAAGAGAGGGAAGAGGAAGATGACGAAGACGGGCGGATGGAAGATGTCTTTGGCCATACTTCCACCGCAGATGCCAATAAGGACGAAGACAAGACCATGACGGATGTCTGATTCCGCCTCATACTAGGCCGAACGTCGAAATACAATAATTAACCACGGCGTTGCTAATTAAAGAAGAAACAGCTAATCTAATATCGGCTGGCGTATTGGAGAGGAGGGTTTAAAACACTGCATGTTGCAAAAGGAGGCTTCTTAGCGGAGATCTATGGGTTTTATTTTGTACAATATCTAATCATTATGCTTTCTAAATGGCACAGGGTTATGAGCCAGATGTTGACCCCTGTAACTCTTCCAGAGTAAAGAAAAGGATAGCGTGCTAGCTTGCTAGTTTGACAGCAACTGGGTATATGGCTTGAGAGATTGCACTTGCAAGAGACCGCATCCGAGTATATAATACAATTAAGCAGAAAAAGGATATAATCCGACTCCAACCCGAAGAAACGCCTGGTAGTTGCTGAAATAGAACAATCGGTCCAAAGGAGTAACGTACGTCTATCATAGTTTCTCATGAACTCTTCGCGGCTTTGGCTGCAGCCCGTTTCTCGTCGTCCTTCTTCATCATGGCAATAACTTCTTGTCTCCGTTTTTCAGTCTCCTGAGCTTCTCTTTCTCGAGCTCTTAATCTCTCCTCTCGACCGGCAAACCATTCTTCTCGCGCCAAATCTTCTATCTCGGGTCGGGCGTGAAGAACCATACAGGCGTTCATGGCAAGCCGCTGCTTTCGACAAACCCATGTAGCGGTAACTGTACGGTTGACTGCGCACGCTGCAAATTCTATCATAAAATAGATAAGCCCATTAGTTATAACGCTCCCGCGTATAATGTTGCCTGCACAACGGGACGGCTCTCGTAAAGAACCCAAGCGCAGACTTACCTTTTATTACTGGATCACAAAGCCCCCTGACCTTTTTATAGTACGCCTGCTTCACTTCTGCCTCCTGAGTAGCAGACAGTGGCGTAGGGTTCCGAAGGTCGACCCTTCGACGAGCTGGTGTCGGGGGGGTTTCCGTAGCCGACGGGGCGGAAGTGGTGGCCATCGCTGCTGGGTTTTCAAGAGAAGGAGACAAAATAGGAGAATGGTATATATAGCTAGTCCATCCGCTACAATGGAAGCTGACTGAAGGGCCGCTGACAAACTGGCCGTGGAGATGTTCAAGCTGTCATCGACACCTCGTTCATACAGTCGGTATCAACGAGGTTGGTTCAAGCTCTTCGAGTTGGAAACTTATTTTTTTTTTTTTTTTTTTTTTTTTTTTTNTTTAAAACTCAAGAAACTTTTCCAACATCAAACAAAAAATCCGGCTGTCAACAACTTCAAACGACTTCGACTCTTCAGCGTCCGTTTCTTATATTATTCCCAGCCCTAAGGCAAACAGATACCAAGTCATTTTGACTTCAGGTCATTTAATTACCGGTTCACGGTTTGAACGGTCATCATGTCGTCCATGCGAAATGCTGTGCAGCGGCGTGTGCATCGCGAAAGAGCACAGCCAGCTGCCCGTGAGAAATGGGGCCTCCTAGAAAAGCACAAAGTGATAAGAACCCTAGATTTGTGTCTCCTGGCGAATATAAGCTTGATTTGCTAATGGTATGGTGTCAATGTAGGACTATTCCCTTCGTGCCAAAGATTACAATCTCAAGAAAGCCCAGTTACAACGCCTGAGAGAGAAGGCTCGAAACCGTAATCCAGATGAGTTTGCCTACGGAATGATGTCAGAAGGCTCCCAAACACATGGGAAGCATGGAGCCAGAGAATCGAAATCCTTGAGCCATGCGACTGTGAGCCTGTTGAAGACACAGGATGCAGGGTATTTGCGGGTCGTAGGAGAACGAGTTCGGAGGCAGCTTGCGCAAACCGAAGAAGAGGCAAATCTACAGAAGGGAATAAAAAGAGTAGAGAGTCTAGGCGGGAAGAAACTAATTTTTGTCGACTCGGTGGAAGAGCAGCAGCAAGAAAAGGCGAACAGGGATGAGCAAGAAGATGACGGAGAGGACGATGAAGATGCCTCCAGGGAACTGACCGTTGAGGAATTGAAGCACATGGCTAAGACCATGCCAAAAAAGCAAGTTGAAGCCGAGAAACGAGCAAGAAAAGAGCTGTTTATTGCGCGACGGATGAAGGAAAAAGCGGCCGAGTCCCGGCTAAAGAAGCTTGCGACCCTCAAACAGCAGCACGCAGATATATCGGCTGCAGAGGAAGAGTTGGCTCTACAGAGGGCAAAGATGGCCAGATCTGTAGGGGGTGTGAATAAACACGGCGTCAAGTGGAAGGTCAGGGAGCGGAAAAAATAATTATTCAAATCGTCTTTTGCGCCTATAATAACGAGACTACGAATTTCCTTCTGGCGTTCAATGGGGTTAGAAGAGGCAGTGATATAATGATTTAATATTGGGATTAAAGTATATCAATGACCGGGAACTGGGGAGAAAAACAACCAGAGCTGCCCGAGAGCTGCAAACAAGATAAAACGCAGATAAAACACGGAAAACTATCGTACTCAATTCCTACGCTACCGTTCTAATGACATCAAAGGAGGCCATGTTGAAAATTTACTGGCCATCCATCGCAGCCATGCGAATAGACACTGCTCGTCGATGGGCGTCCAATCCTTCTACGGATGCCAGCTGCATCACAGCACTGGATACGTTGCGCAAACCTTCAGCTGTCAGATTTGAGCTTGTGATGTGCTTTACAAAGGAGGCAAGATTCACTCCAGAGTACTGCTTTGCATATCCATAAGTTGCTAAA